TATAACATTCATTCCAGGTTTGTTTATATATAAAATACGCCTGATCGCAATGCAAATGCAAAGACATATTCAATGTTTTTAGTACTAAGATCGTGTTGCCATGACAACAAGAAAGTGTTGCCATGACAACAAGAAAGTGTTGCCATAACAACGCTATATTGTCGTCTATTATATAAAAAATTATATAAAATATTATGCCCTAGGCAAATTGGAAGTATTTTACAGTTTTTCTTAAAATTGGTATAAATTATTAATTTGTTTTATTCTATTTTTGTCCATTTGAATGAAAACTGATTCTGCAAAACGTCTCATATGTATTTATCTCATGACAGGGTAGTATCCAAAATGAAATTATCATTATAATTTTTTATATGATTAGTGCTAATAGTTTGATTAGTTATTTTCAAAGTTGTTGCAGTGTTTTTTCAGACGTTTTTTTTAGATGCTGTTTTATTTCACCTATATAAATTGCATCGCAATCTTTACAATCAATTTTGTATAGTATATTGACTATACAAACAGGATAAAGATTTTTAATATAAGGGTTTACACATGCTTTACGATTGATTGTGAGAATGTGAGCTTGTAAGTGTTTTTATTCGTTACTCCAAATTTTTGTTAAAAAACTATCAAGTATTTTCACCATTTTACAATCCTGATAAAATGCGCCAAATTTTGATAAAACTTGCTCACACATAAAGTGTAAAAGTGCATTTTTTTTAAAAAAAAAGTGCTTCTCAATGTTGACCGATTTTGAAAATGCAAGTTCAGGGTTCATCAAAAAGTCTGAATTCTTGAAAACTTGAGGCAATTGTGTCAATTTTTTAGACTGTAGTTTTGAAAATGTTATTTACGGTTACGGTTCCAAAGTTTAGATAAACAAAATTAATAAAAATAGACCACAATAACCAAAAACTTGGTTACATTTTCACCCAAGCACTCCATAGGTCATAATAGATCAATACAACTATCATAGTTGACGTTGAGTTCTGGGATACTCTGTGCACAATTCAAGCGCCTTTTACTTATATGTATTTTTCATATTTCTGTTTTTTTTGTTCAGATATATGTGACAAAATCTTCAGAACAATACATTAAAAAATGTATAAAATCAAATAAAAAAAGTTTATAAAATCAAATATTTTATCGGTACTATTTGTCTCCCCTATATTGCAAAACTTTACCCAGTTCGGCAAAAAAACTTTTTAATCATGCACATTATTTTGTAAATTCATAAAAAAAACAATATAACATAAAAAATCGATTGTAAAGATTGCAATGCAATTTATGTGGGTAAAACAAAACAGCAATAAAAAAAAAACTGAAAAAACACGGCAACAAAATATTAATTTTATAAACCACTTTTAAGACAAACTGTAAAATACTTTGAATTTGCTAAATTATACCCAAGTGCCAATTTTTTGCTAAAATTGGTGATAACATAGCGTTAAAAACATTGCAAGGAAGAATGTTATAACTATTAAAAAAAGTGCTTGAAAAACACTACAATAACTTTAGAAATAATAATAACTTATCATATAAAAAATTATAATTATAATTCCAATTTTGACATTGCTGCAGCACTTTCTCATGAGATAAATATATCGCAGAGACGTTTTGTAGAATCAGTTTTCATTCAAATGGACAAAAACAGCATAAACAAAAGAAATGATACTACTTCGCTTTGTGAAAAATTTCAACTATATATATATATATATATATATATATATATATATATATATATGCATATGATGTACAGTTATGTATATACCTATGTAGTAACTTCTATACATATCGTCTAGTACCATCAAATTTACGACTGTTTGACTATAAACTTAACTAACTCAACGATGTTGATTCGTGTATAACATCATGTTGAACTATACGCACAATACATAGTCTTGACATGAAATTTCAAGTCAAATTGCACGGAAATATTCTCTAGATCATAGGAGCTTTCAAAATCTCTTTGAATCCTGCCAATATTTTTCAAGAAGTTTTCTATATATTTTATGGCCAAATTTAAGTTGTTTCAAACAATTGGTGGTCGGTGGTGAGAAATGCATATCCAATATACCTTCCTAGTTTCGCTATCTCTCGAGACGATACCGTCGTCGTCGTTCGGATAGGTTTGCTGTTCTGTGCTGAAATGTATTCAAATTCCTGTAATAAATTAGATAGTCGCTTCTATAATACTGCTGCCAGCAGCTAGCTATGTTGCTGCTAGATAGCTTTAAGGAAGCTATAGCACAACCACGGATCATTATAGTTTTAGTCACATGGATAACTAGATATACATATGTATAAGTAGATACATATGTATACATATTGATGTGTGTATTTATGTGTGTGTATGTGTTTGTGTGTGTGTGTATAATCGCATATCGAACATCTGACATCGACGACTTAATGCAAATTGTTTCGGAGCTTTCGGCTCTGCGGTGTATTCTGTTAACTTACGTTTGCACAATACGTTGTAGGGGTTCCCGAGGGATGATTGATACGAAATTGAATGTATTTTCAGCAATTTTAGATCAAACTAGTAGTATATGGCATCGTGCCTTAGGGCAAATTACTAAAACTTCCAGCACCGCAATAAAATATTCGAGGAATTTTAATAAATGCTATAACCTTCATTATTTTCAGTATCCTGTTATATCTGAATTAACACCATCATAAATCATAAATCAATTTATCTCCAGAACATTAACAATCGTCATTTCATTTCGAAGTCAATTTCAAAAAAATAGTTGCCTACTAATTTGCACAAAATTGAAAAAGTGCTCCCAGTGCTTACCTTGGCGGCATTTTCATATTTTTCAATAGTTTTTTTCACAAAATTGAAAAAGTGCTTCAGTACAAATGCAGTCTAAACGCACTTGGATAAACATTTGTACCAGAGTGGCGCTTAGACTGTGCTTAGCCTGGGCAAATTTTAGAATTTTTAACTCAAAATTACATTTGTTTAATTTATAATAAATTAAAAAAAATTCTCCTGTACTTTGCAAGCGGCATTTTTGCATTTTCAATAGTTTTCACAGAATTGGAATATATTTGCACCAGGTTGATACTTAGACTGTGCTTAGTTTGGTTAATTTTTTAAATTTTCTTGAATTTTACTCAATTTTTTTTGAACCCAAAATTTACATTTCTATAATTTATATATTTAGAATTAAATATTAATATGCTAATCATTGTCAATATTTAAAAAAAAAAATTTTTGAAAAAAAAAATTAAATTTTGAAATTTGAAACAAAATTGAAATTTTGAGGTAAAAAAATATGCCGTTCCCAATAACTATTCGTTCTTATCAATGTCAATCCAAGCAAAATGTTTTGTGAATTATTCAAATCGGATGCTCCATTCAATCAAAAACCACAATTTTTTGCACATTTAGCTTCGTATCTCCGAAACGGCTGGGCCTGCCTTTGCCAAAAACTAAGCACCAATTCTCCATATCATTACGAATTAAATGTTGTTCGAAGCATTCAAATCGGATGCGCCGTTTTCTCAAAAACCATAATTTTTATTTTATGCACTCTTTGTTTTGTGTCTTTGAAACGGCTGGACCTGCCTTTGCCAAAAACTAATCAGCACGTCTACCTATCAATAGGAAGCGACTATTTCGTGAATCATCCAAATTGGTTGAGCCGTGCTCCTGAAAACGTGAACAAAAATTTGTATCCATACACACACACACATACATAAATTTTCTCTAAGGTATGCCAAAATGTTCAGAAACTTCTGAAACGTAAAGATCTATAAAAATGTTCATTTTCGTATTTTTTGCAATTATTAGAACTTACCATACGGGAAGTTAATTAATATCCCAATCATTGTCGATAATCAACAAAATATAACTTTTGGAAATAAAAAAAATATAAACTTATGATATAAAAAAAGTCCCAAGAATTAATTGTTTAAATCAGATGCTTTGTTCTATGAATTTACTACTATTTTTTGTACATTTAGCTCTGTATCTCTAAAACGGTGGACGAAAAATTGTATCCACACTAAACACACACACACCATACATCCATCTTTTCTTAAGTTTGCCAAAATGTGCAGAAACTTCTGAAATGTAAAGATATGCAAAAATTTTCATTCTCATTTGGACGATCACGGTAACTTGCCCTACCGAAAGTTAATACTAGAAAAAAAAATTATATTGAACAATCATCAGACATCAAAGTAAACTAGTGGGGTGTATGGCATCGTGCCGTAAGGCAAATTGCTGGAACTTCCCGTACCGTAACGAAATGTTCGGAGAATATTTAATGTTTTCAAATAGATTATTATTATTATTGTAACAATGTCTAATATTTATAAGAATTATTTAAACTGAATTGCAAAGTTGAAATTATTTTAGAACTATAGTCAGAATTAAAAATAAAATCTGAATTATTTTCGATATAAAAAAAATTTTTTTGAAAAAAAAAAAGTTGGGACAAAATTTTTTTAAGAAGTTAAAAATAATCAGCCTGGTTGTTTTTGTACATGGAAACTTTAATTCGATCCAAAGTACGCATGCTTTACTCAAACATGTCTTAAACAATGTCTTCTACTTCAATCTAACTTTGCATTTCCGAAATCTTGCCTAATTTGTTCCTTCATCCGCGTCCAACTTATTTGTGCATAGTAGTTGTTTACTGGGGAATCGGATAGACATTAGCGAGTTAAGTAATTAAAAACTTTCGAAACTTCTCTGATTAGTATTGGCTAAAGTATCGAAACTTTGCGCTATCTTCAATTTCTAAAGGCAACTTTGACCGTTTTATGCTGACGACGTTAGGAACAACTTTCCGAACCACAGTCGAGCGATAATTTCACTTGAAAGTTCAGTAAATCGGTAATCAAATTTCTGGGAAGGTAATAAAAATTTTTGTTTTCTAACCGAGTGCAACTTTCAGATGTCTCTTTAATAACACATACGTGAAGTTAAATTTTATCCAAAAATATAGGCTTTTTGACATAAATTAATCATTTAATCATTTAATTACCTGGGTCATCGACGTTCTGTTGAAGTCCTCCTCCGGGGACATCAAAATTTTCGCTGGCAGAACCTTTACTTGGGCCGGTGCCTGCGGGTGCCTGTGTGTCGCCTGCAGGGCCACATCTGCTCAACACCAATAATGATATTAGGGAAAAGGTGAACGCAAGGGCCAAGAGCCGGGCGAAGGGCCGAGTGGCACTGTGGGCCGCGTTGAGTCTTGGCGACATCGCCCTGAAAGAAAAAAAAATTGGTGTAAGTGAAAATCTGAAAATTTGTTGGTATTATGAGTATTTGAAGACATAGGTAACTAGTAGTGTATGGCATCGTGCCTTGAGGCAATTTGCTCTAACTTCCCGTATACGAGGAATCTCAAATGTTTCCAAATAAATTGTTATCAAAATTGTAACTTGCATTATGTGTGGTATCTTGTTATATCTGTATTAACACTGTGAGCAAATCAATTGTAAATCATCAATCAATTCATCTCTTAAAAACCATCATTTCATTTTTATTTAATTTAAAAAAAAAACAGTTGCCTAATTTACACAAAATTGAAAAAGTGCTCCCGTATAGTCACAGTCCAAACGCATTTGCAAATAATTCTGTGCGACATTTTCACTTATAGTGTGATTTGCTTGGCGGCATTTTCAAATTTTCAATAGTTTTCACAAAATTAAAAAAGTGCTCTGTAGAGCCACATTATAACGCAGTTGCCGGAACATTTGTACCAGGTTGTCACTTAGACTGTGCTTAGTCTGGGTAAATTTCAAATTTTCAACCCAAAAATTACATTTTTATAATTTACATAAAATTGTAAAAGTGCTCCAATACACGAAACAGTCTAAACGCACTTGGAAATATATTTGTACCATGGGGTCGCTTAGACTGTGCTCTGGGTAAATTTTTGAATTTTTGACCAAAAAAATTAGATTTCTATAATTTATATATCTAGAATTAAAATTAATATACGAATTATTTTCGATATTCAAAAAAAAATTTGGAAATAAAAAAAAAATATTTTGAAACATAAAAAAGCCTTTACCAGAAATTAAAAGTTTCTTCGAAAGTTACTATTGAGAAAATGGATCATCAGGAAATATTTATACTAGGATTTTTCAGGAAATATTTATAAGGGGAAAAGGACTCTACTGACAAGCAAACTAGAATTCTATGTGAAATATTTATAGTATAGTATATAGATAGATTCTATACAAGAAAAGATTGAATTCTTGGAAAATAATACCTACTAAAAAAGGACTCTACCTACAAGCAAACTAAAACACTACTTACGAGCAAATTAGATTTTTTGGAAAATATTTATGTAGTAAAGGGACTCTACTGATGAGCATTCTTACAAAGTACAAGTAATATCGACTATGATTAAGATATTAATTTTAATTCTAGTTATATAAATTATAGAATTGTAATTTTTGGGTTAAAAAAATCAAGAAAAATTCAAGAAAATTCAAGAAAATTAAAAAAATTCCCGAAGCACCACTGTCTAGGTAACAACCTGGTACAAATATATTTGTAAGTGCGTTTAGACTGATCCTATACTGGAGCACTTTTACAAATTTATATGAATTATAAAAATAGAATATATTTGAGTTGAAATTCGAAAAATTACCCTAACTAAGCACAGTCTAAGTAACAACCTGGTACAAATGTTTCGCAAGTACGTTTAGACAGTTTCTGTACTGGAGCACTTTTCCAATTTTATGTAAATTTGAGAAATGTTTTGGGATATAATACTAAAAGGGACTCTACTTACAAGAAAACTATAATTCTTTGGGAAGTAATACTAAAAAGGCACAATTTACGAGCAAATTAGATTTTTTTTGAGAAATATTTTTATATACGAAAAGGACTCTACTGACGAACAATGTTTCCTA